GATGACGCCAGTTTGCAAATGACAGCACAACAGAGTAAATTTGGGAATACTGGAGAAGAAGAAAATTTAAAGGAAAAATTAATTCTTTCTTTGGGGGCATGATTAGCTGAGATGCTTACAGGAATTGTACAAAATATTCTCCTGGCTCATTTTATAGCAGTTAATACACTGCTTACATAGGCACTCAAAAAATTGATGAAGTAAATTGCCATTACTAATTTATTAAAAATAGCCATGCTGATAGTTAAATTCTGGTATCTGCTATATAAGTTAACACTGTTGGGATCAGTTTTCCTTTTTTCTCTAAAAGTCATTATTTCAGTTTTTTAGATAGATACATTTGGAGGTTTTTTTTCCATTATGTTTATGATAAACTTTTAAGGAGAAAGAGAAAACCTTTAGGCTCATAATACAGAATTAAAATATTTCTAGGCCAGATAAGCTGTTGTCTAATTAAGATTAAATAACGAATATAAAATAAAGATGAAATAATAATGGAAAATCATCTCTGACAAAGAACTGAAAATCTCTTTGCTCCATGGTGCCAGAATCAAAGGAACCTGCTGCTAGTATGCTGGATGGTGATGCCAAAGGAGTGTTTTTTGGTTGTTTTTTTTTTGTGTGTGTGTGTGAGTCAAAAACAGAGATAGCATATAAGATTATATAAGGTTTGTACTACTGATTAGCCCAGTGATTTTCAATTGGAGTGCCACAAGAATTTTTAAAACATATAGTACCCTGAACTCTTCCCTTTGATTATCAAATACAAAAATAATAATGGCCAACACAACAATAGCCATCTGGTGTGAATAAATCACAATTATACCTATTTTTTGTCAGACTAGCAAAAATACATTTTTTGGTGTGCTGCAGAATTTTACTAATTCGTTTATGTGTGTCATGAGGTGAAAAAGGTTGAAAATCCCTGGATTAGACTAATTAATAATCACATAGTAATTATTTGTGGATTTGCCCCTTCTGCAGCTAGGTTTAGGCTGATAGTATTTTTGCATCCTTTCCAGGCTTTTAGCTTGTTGACAGTACATGATTGCCACATAGCTAAAGGCACCACCATCCAAAAAACACTCTTGGGCAAGAGCTACCTGGATCCTATTTGTTGTCCTACATAAACATTGAGAAAACAAAATTCCATCTCTACCCATGAAGAGATACACCTGCTTTTCTAATCAGCAGGGACATTTTAGTCAAAACTGATGCATACCAGTTGGGAAATTGTTTATAAATTTGTGGTGGCAATGTATTCTTTCTTGGTGCCTTGACAGATGAAAGAGGTGCCCCAAGCCCTTTCATTTCACCAGTGCCTACCAGAAACCACTGGAGCAGACTTGTTATGTCTATGATCGAATTTTTACCACAAATGAGTGAGGACACATCAAGATGTTACTGTAATGATTATACCAATCCTTCTCAGGTGTCTGTGAATCTATTGTGGAAATGGTTTAAATGAACACCAGAAAATACAAGGCTCCCAAATCCAAATTCTTAGGGCTGTAATAGAACTGATTTTAATTCTTACAATCACTGTATGACAAGTTCTTTGCCAGCTCATAAGATGAGCACAAAGGGAAAAAAATGGTTATTATTAATGAATTTCTATCTTTTGCATGAGACCACTTATTTACTCTTCCTGGCTTGCTACATTTAACATCAAACCATTCTTTTCATGAAGCTTTAGATTTCCTTCATTGTTTATAATAAACTAACAGTGATTTAAGACTTTGGGTGATGGTTTAGAAAGATTATAAAACATCCGTATTGGCATTAGAAACTTCCTGAAGTACAAGCCGTACAAATTGTTCAAAAGTTAAGTGACAATTATGCCTAAGTGATGAATAACTTTTGAGATTTTGTGATGAAGTCCATTGAGAAAGATGATTTTATCAACTCTGTGTGGTAACTAGAAAGGCAAATGCTCCTAGAAGTATGTTGGCTCATGCATGGAAACTTCAAAATGGAAATCAGTGCTCCAGAATTGACTGAGATAATTTGGAGCATATGTATATAGCCTGCCTTCACAGCACACACTAAAAATAGGGTTTAAGAGCTCTGGCCAGTGTGGCTCAGTTGACAGAAGCATCATCCCATAAACTGAAAGGTTATGGGTTTGATTCCAGGTCAGGACACATGCTTAGGTTGTGGGTTTGGTCCCCAGGCAGGGCAAATGTGAGAGACAACCGATCAGTGTTTCTCTCTCACACTGACATTTCTCTCCCTCTCTTACCCTCTCTCTAAAATCAATCAATAAGCATGTCCTCAGGTGAGGATAAAAAAAAATAGGGTTTAAGAAATAGTCATATGTGATATTTGCCCACAAAAAGTTATAAAATCAAATAAGTGAAATAATTTTACCTGACATGCTTAAGTCATTATTATACAATTAACAGTTTTTCACTATGGATAATTATAAGCCAATTTTCTAGTTCTGGTGGTTCAAAGAGTCTTTTTTTTTTTGTAGTTCTCAAATTCCATGACTATTAGTGTCAACTGGTTGTTGCTGTGGCAGGAGATACGTGTAATGCAATCATGTGGGAAGAGCATCTTCTGTTTTTAATTGGAGCCATGCTGGCAATCATTGGGGGACTTCTTTTTTAGACTTCCAGAGCACTAATGCTGAAAAAGAAAAACAGATACCCTCCCCTCAAATACTAATTGAAGACATGTTATGAAAAAACAAATAAATCTCTCCTAAAAGAGACAAAGAACCCAATTTGTATGTCATCTTTCAAAGTTCCCATTTCCTGTGAGTTTGGCAACTTTTGGCTTGTTTTTGTGGCCAACTCATACTGAGCTGACTCAGCTGCAAATTCATTGTTTCTTCCTCTTCCAGGCTACCTGCTCTTTTGTTTCTAAGTCTTAACTTTTTGCAAATTAGATAGGCATCTGAAAGGTGTTATATTTTCTTGTGGCAGAAATAAGTAGACACACGGTATCCTACAGCTTAAAATCTGTTCTGCAACAACATGGCCAAGCTCCAGGTTCTAGATTGAAACTAAAAATGATTTCTACTGTGGGTGCAGGTGTTCACTGCTCTGCGATACAGCTCCATGTGTCATACAAAAATATAACATGGATCCATTAGTAAAACATATAGAAGAACAAATGCAGTATCAATAACTTTTGGGTATTCATAAAAATCTGAGGAATAGGATCAATTGTGACAGTCACCTTAAGGCTGAAAAATAGGATCAAAAGAAGTGTTTAGCTCACTAGTCAACCCAATAATGGCTGCTTCCTTGCTTACAAAGGAGGCCAAGCAAGGGCAAATGAGTGAATCAATATCTGATAAGATGATCAAATGAGACACTCCTTTGCAGTTTTAGCAAACTTTTGAGACCTAGAGCAAACAACAGTGGCCAAGTAACTTCATATTCGAAAGCAATGTCTAGATAATATATGCAAAACGTTTAAAAGTGTGGAAAGCATCCAGTTTTGCAAACCCTTGTTTCATGAAACAAATTGGAAAGTGAAGGTGAAGTAAGAATTTCTATGTGAGACATTTTATGAATGCTTTGCTGTCTCTTTCCCTTTTGGGGAGCTCTTTCACCCTTGCCTTAAGCTAAGTGAGAAGGGGCTTTCAGGACCAACTTTGAGAGATGGACATGTGTCATTTGGGCCTTGGGAAGCAACAGAACTTGTATAAGACACTGGAAGTTTAGCATTACTGTGGCAGAGAAACTGAGAGAGTAAGAGTGAGAGTGAGAGCCAGAGTGGGAAAGAAAAAAGAGAGGACCTCATTGGGAACTAACTGTGTTTCTAGTAACAGCAGAGCAAGGATCCATGGGTGTTTCTTGTGGAACAAATGTCGGCAACGGAGTGTCGAAAATTTAGTGCCATTTTGAATATTTTCCAAGAGGCTTCCTGGAGGGGCAACATGTCTCACCCAACAGAAAGATGGATAATTAGAAGTCAAAGGGCCAACAAAGGAGTGCAGCAGCGAGCAGTATCGCCTGTATTGAGGAAACTATGTTGCAGGGTTGTAGTGGGAGGTATCTTCAAGGAAGTGCGCAAAAGCACCCTAAAAAGAAGGAGTTAGCATGCTATAATCAGAGAGCACATCGATCACTATGTTTATGTCAGTCAAGTAAGACTTTTGTTGCCCTTAACACCTCCTCCCTCACCTGACCCATTGAAGAAGGAGTAGGAGAAGAAAAGGAGCAAAGCAAGGTGAAAAAATAGGAAAGAAGCTCTCCGCTCCCACTATCTTGCTTCAAGCTTTCCCGGTTGAGGCAGGTCTGAGCTGGGAGAAGGAAATACCTCTCTGTGGGCATGAACACAGGCCTGCAGAGTTTTGGTACTGAAGTGATCTTATGCCTGAAAGTGATTGGAGACTTTTTCTTATCTTAAAGTGCTTTTTAAGTTATGGGATTTACCAAGATTTTGTTCAAGTAGTGGGGAGAAAATAATCCACAGAGAAGTTTAAAAGGACAAGAGGGGAAAGGATAAAATTATTTTGTTATTATTTTATCAGCTAAGCCAATTAAATTAGTGATTACAAATACAATCATTTTTTACCACTGGGGGCAAAATTTACTGAGAAGACAGGCCCTCTGGTTATTCATTGACTAAGCCAAAGGTGGAAGTTCATTTGTTAGTTTAGCATATTAAGTAGTCTGGATTTTCAATCTGCCCCCACTAAAGACATCTGCTACTTTGGACACAATTTTTCAAGGGAAGGCTCAGAGTCTATTAGACAAGGCACGTGCTCTCCAGGTTCCCATCTTCTTGCTTGCATTGACGAGTGACTCCAGTTTTCAAGTGTCTACATTAACACTATTTTAAAAAAAACCAAAAAACACCTCATTTTGTTGAGCCTTAAGTTGTGATTACTACATGCTTTGGCTGAGTGATGATGAACACATTATTTAATCTCCACCTGACATAGCTTTTTAATGCAAAATAAGACTGACAGTACAATTAAAAATACAAAGACAAATTTAAAAAATCAAAAGCTACAAAAATCAGAAAGCCAGAAAAAATACCTCATGGAAATGGCATCCACAGTTCCCCTGCAAAAACTCTTTGTATCGCCCCATTGTTATAGTGAATGTGTCAACCACTTCATAGCCATATGTTTTTGCAGTATCCAGAATAATCAAGTTTTCTTTCCATAAGTTCTGAACTTCACTCTGTATTTCAAAGCAGAAGAATAAGCATTTTCATTAAGAGCATTTCTTATGATTTAATAAATCAAGTAGAAGTTGGATAAGTGACAGCTTTTTTACAGATTGGTCTTATTTTGAGATAAAGACTTAATTTCACATACTTTTTAAAAGAAAGATGTGTTCTAATTTTTTAATTCAGAATATAAATATAAACATCTGTGTATATGTAAAACAGCAAGGCATAAACATCTACAATGATGAACAGTTTGGAACTTTCCCTTTCATAAAAAGTAATTAAGTTTCTTGTCCACAAAGAAAATAACTAAATTCTCAATTTAGCCAAGGAGATAACCTTGGAAATAACTACAGGAAATAACTAAAGCCAAGGAAATAACTAAAATTCTCAATTTAAAAATCACAAATGTTATCTCCATCTATTTAGAGTTTTATTCAGGTAGTCATTTGAATATTAATTAGTGTCTGTTTTGTGCTTAGCTCTGTGCTGAGAGAAAGGAGTACAAGAGTAAATAAATCACGGTCCCTGCTCTTAAGACATTGCATTCTAACAGAAGAAACAGATATGTATACATTTACTAAGTTTTTCATTGTTAGGCAAATATGCCAGGCTCTGGATAGTAGAGAAAAGGAAATAGCTCTGCCAGGCACAAGGGGACAGCTGGACAATGAGAATTCAAAAGGTGGTTAGGTGCTAGACAGGTTTGCCAGTGGGATGGGGGTGGGGAAGGAAAGGGGGAGTGTGCTTTGGGAAGGGAGCAGCAGGATTGAGTGACAGCTCCAGCTGCTGCTCTCTGGATCATATTCCTGCCTCCCTCCCCAACCATGTCCAAGGCAATGATCACACTGTGGGAGTTCTAGTTCAGGTCCACTGTCAAGAAGACGAACTCCTTCTCTACTTTAGCTCCAGGATCCACTTGGCCAAGACTTTCTCAGACCGACCTGCTGTCTGAGACTTTTCTTGTGTACCTCATCCTTCTTCCACACCCTCCATATCAGACACATCACAGAAAAACCCAGGTCCCAATACACAGTGAACTCAAAAAATATTTGTTGCGAGATTGAGTGATGTGCATCGGATGCTGTGAGCTGAGAGTTTTCCTGCCTACTCCTCTTTCCTGTGGTCTTCCCAGGCACTCTTCCTCGTAAATTCCCCTTCTGCTCTTCTTGTTTTAGTGTCTGTTTCCTAGCAAACTCACACTGACAAAGAGAGGGAACTGCATCTTCTCTGCTTTTTCTAAAGGACAAAAATTATTTTCATTTTCCTGGCAAAAAATGCAAATAACTTGCATTTGTTAATCCAACAGCAAGGTAAAAGAAACAATACAAATATGCCTAATTTTATATTTTCACTGGGCTCATACACATGTTTATGAGACATTCAAAGAAGAGTGTTTCCCTCAAAATAAAGGTAAGAAATAGAAAAGGTCCATAAAGAAGAATAAAAATTTACATGAAAAATGATGCTCAATGTTGTTTGTAGGCTTTTTCTTGTCCAGTTATAAGCATTTTCTCAACTTTAATATGTCTAATTATGAAAGGTATGTGGAACTTTATAGTAAGCCATTTCTAGAGAAAGTTTTCTGGGGAAAGGTCAGTTCTCTGGGAAATAGACTCTGGGATGGAACTTTGCATCCAGGGAGCTAAAAAGAGGGTGCTCATGTAAGGGAATGATGTGGTTGCAACAGAGACTTTTGTGGATCCCACCAGTGGTCCTAGAACTGGGAAGGATCTTTGGAGATAATGCCCCAAATTAAGGAAAGGGAGCTAATTCTTGAAACTCCTATGTGGGCAAGCTGGGTTTCTGGAGCAAAAGGCAATTCCTGCTGGGATTCAGGTGTGAGTCATCATTAGCCCACATTCCAGCAGCCCAGGGGAATGTCTCAGTCCTGGAGGCTCAATCTGGGAGCAGCCAAAATGTGCAAAGTATCACTCACTCATTCAGGCACATATTTTTTTGAGAGTCTACTATGTGCTGACTAACGTGTTTTGCATTAGGGGTACCAGAATAAGCAATGCAGTCCTCCCTCTCTAGTCCTTTCTCTCACAGAGATTATTCTAGCAGGGTAGACAGACAGTCATGGACTGTGTCTGTTGAATGGCATGCATGAGGACACAAGACAATATTACAGGAACTCAGAGCAGGAATAGACCGTGAATCTAGTTTGCCCATTAAGTTTTCCCAGAAGAAATAGCATTTAAACTAATACTATAACGGTGTTTGGAAGTTACCCAGGTGAGGAGGTGGTGGGAGAGTAAGCTCCAAGATTTCCACGACCTGGAGAGTGACTGAAAGCATGACATGTTTGAGAAACTAAAACATGTTCAACATGACCGAGCTCAGTGGTGTTGTGAGTGTGTGTGTATGCAAGTGTATATATGTACATGTGTGCACATATAGTGGAAGTGAGGGATAAGTTTACAGAGGAAAGCAGAGTCGAAGTCTTGAGTGGCCATGTGAGCACATGAGAAGCAGTTCAGATTTATTTTCTGCTTCCACTGCTATTATCCCTGTCTCTTTTGTTCTATTATTTCCCCCACCCTCTTGTTCAATCCTTTCATCTTTCCTCAGTTTTTAAAAGAGTGATGAGCACCATCAAAGCCCAGGGATCAGGCATAATGTTTAACACTATATCTGGTAGATAGTAAGAAATGTGTGCTGTCTGCTGAGATGAATCGATTCAGTTAGTAACCTAAATATACGTGAGGAGCTGCAATCAAAGCACAGCGAAAGCTACCAGAGTACTCAAGAAGGAATTGCAATCTTGACCTGTAGACTTCAGATAACACTAAGGGTGATCCAACTCATAACCCATAGGAAAAATTATCAAAGGACACCTTTTCTCATCCTCAACAGTCTCAAATTCTTCAGCTACACCAGATCCTAAACACCTCAACTCCTTAACCCCTCCCAACTTCAAGGCAGGTAGATTTGGAGGCTGTGCTTGGGCCACTTTCTACCAGTTCTCCTGCTTTTGCATTATAGATCTGATGTCCATGCAGGCAAAGTTTCAAGAGAGGAGAGAGGGGTATGTAATTTATGCTGGGGAAAGGTAGGAGCACTCAACATTGACAGAAAAGTAAATCTCCCTCACCATACATATTTAATGGACTGCTTCCTATCCCTCCAATTCCCAGTGCTCCCTGAGCTCCCCAGCACCCAGACCCCCAAACAATCACACACAAACCCAGCTGCCAAGAACTCTTTTGGCTTGAACAAGAGCAGCCGGTTCCCTTACCTATAGATGTTGTCTTTCTGTTCTTGTTTGAGACTTCTCTTCAGTGTGGAGACTAATTTACTATCTTCTATAAGAACTGGTCAGAAGCCTCTAACTCCTTTCATTTATGAATATCTAACCAGAGAAAAAACTAATGATGCTACTTCAAAGGTTACTTTTTAAAGCAAGAGTCAGATATCATCTTCAAAAAAGCCATTCTTTCCCAAAGCACATTGATGCTGATGATTTCAAGCATGGTTTTAGCGTGAGCCTTTAAAGGTGCATGAAGCATTAGTAGTGTAAGGGGGTGCTTAAAGCACAGTCTCTCACAGTTACCATCCGTTCTTATTTTTTCAGAGTTTGGCACTCCCTTCTGCTTTTTAAGAACTCAAAGCATTTACAACACATTATAGGTTATGGTCTCTTTATCTCCAGGAATAATTCTAACTGGTCTGAAATAATAATCCGCAAATATATTATCTCCTTTGATTTTTATAAAGGTTGCTGAATAGTGTGTGGTGCCTTTTTGTCCCTTTTCAGATACCAGCAAAGATAAGAAGCACGAAAGTTCACACAGCCTGGAGGAAAGGGCCTTGCCTGTGTTAAGAAATGTACTCCATCCACTGGCAGATGAAATCCAATTCCCAACGTTTTGATGATCACGAGGATATTGAGTAAATTTTCCCTGTGAAATAATTAGAATTCTAAAGTCATGAACTTCGATTACATTTCTAGATGTCTCTGTTTACATAAACAAATAAGTGGAATTCCTTTAGGATGTGATAATTGGGAGATGAGACTAATTTTTCATTTTAAATATTTGATGTATACTAGTTTTTTGTATGGAGTTTTATGTGTCAATGGGCACGTTTTGATTTGCAGTAAATGTACATTTGGATACTGAAGAACCATCTTGTGATTGGAATATTTTAAGCTAGACTTTAAGTACTTAATTCTAAACAACAAGTTGCTCTTTAAGTAAAATCTTGATAAAAGTCAGTCACATCAAGAGTAATTTTTTTTTACTTCAAACATAATGACAATTATTGTTGCAGAAATGTACCTCTTCAAAACCTTGTGAATAATTTGCAGGTGATTGGAATTAAGCCACTGAACACCACCAACGACCAAAATAGTCTGGCCTGAATTCTCCAGGGGACGTGATCTGAAATCCAGAAAGAAAAACAACACATGCTGCCTTGAAACAGATGGTAAAAATTTTAACGACACTGCCTCCCATTTTATCGAACCATATCTGGCATCCTGATCACAGAACCTCCTTGTCATTTCCCACTCATTTTCAGCCATATTACTTGGGCTTTAAGCTTTTCAGCACATTTGATATATGGTGAGCAATTATGACTGCTCGTAAAACATCAGTGCATTATGGCATTGTGCTCTTCATAATAGTTCCATTGTACCTTTGCAAGAGATGCTCAAGTGCTTTTTCAAATGTTGGTCTCAATGAAGGGTTTATCCAGAACTGAGGGTAGTAGGAATAACTGATCGAAGTCTTCCCACCGTTGACATTGTGATAGAATTTAGTGCCATGCACCTTCTGCCATTCCTGCAAGGTTTCATTCAGTCTTTCAATAAGATAGTACATTATCCCTCTGTTGGTTGAATCTCCAATGAAAAGAATCTACAAATTAAAGAAAAAATATTTGCTTTAAAATATGATGTTTACACGGTGTAGGAGATAATACAAAATAATCTGTTGAATATCCGTAAATCCACAATTCTTAGTATTTAAAGAACAGCCCTTCAGACTGTTAGAAGTGGCATTCATTATATTCTCCCCAAACCTGCACATTTTCCTCTCTTCCATATTCCTAGAAATCTCATCATCTACTGACACACTAACATATTTAAAGCTTTTTGCTTCATGTCATCTTCAGTTTCTCTACCTCCCTTATGTTGTTTAATTTCTCATCTAGTCAACTTAAGTTTTATTGATTCAAAAAGGCATGGAGTGTTTTTGTGCTATAAGAATACTTACAGATTTTCCAATTTCTTTGCATTGTATAGACAAGAAAACTTGGAATCCACAGTGGTTATATAGCTCAGTAAAGGTTATGCCATCACTTGAAAAAGGAGCCACAGGACTAGGATCTGAATTTCTGAACTGCTGTCTATGTCCCAGGGTACATATCCTAGTGTCATTTACTTTGTGTCAAATGGGTGTGAGAGACACCCATTCCTGCCTTCCGGTTCCCCCCAGCACAGCCTTGCTTCAGGCTTCAAAGCTGTGCCATTGCTAATAATGTTCTCCTAATGGGTCTTCCTTCTTGTACAATGGCTACTATTTAATTCAGTCTACACACAGTATTACGGGGACACATTTCCAAATGTCTAGCTCTGATCATCATACTTTCATGCTTAAACGTCTTATTGGCTCCTGTTTCCTATAGAATCAAGTCTAACCTCCTTATGTTCATCTAACATTTACTGAATTTTTATTGCATATCAGGCTTTGCTAGATGGAGATTTCACACAGGCTACTCACTTTTAATATTCATAATTATGAGATGTGAATCATTATTTTCCTTTCACAGATGAGCAATTTGAGGCTTGGGAGATTGAAGTCTTAAATCTATTAAGTGGGGATCACAAGACTCAAACATAGGTAGGTCCTTTAACTCCAAGTGCAGGGTCTATGGCCCCATCATCTCAACGCTCCCATTCAGATTCCTGCTTTTTCACTGAGCATGATTTGCACTCCACAGCAACTGTTTTTCCTGTGCTAATCCACCTGTCTAGAAAGCTCCTCCCTCTGCAACCCCACAGACGTAAAGGCTACACAGCCTCCAGACCTGACACAAATGTCCAATGCCCCAGCTAGAATGACCTCTGCTGTCCTCTGATTTCATCAAAATTTTTATTTCCATATCAGATTTTATCTAATACATTAAATTATAGCTATTTGTGGCTATATCTTTTTTTTTTCATATCATATCAAGAAGTATTCGAGATCACAGTCAGGGTTAGTGTCTAGATTCTAATTTCCCCTATAGTACAATGAACGAACTTTGAAAATGTTTATTGAATTGAAAGTTAAAGGGACTTTTGTTGGAGACAATCCTTTTTAATGCTTTGGATAAGGTTTACTTTGTGCTTCAGATTTTTCTCTCTTCATTGATATTTCTGTTTCCATTAGTCATACACATACTTCTGGTTTTAACAGCAGTAATTTGACATAATTCTCAGGCACTATTGTATTTGTCTATCCACAGCAAATTTAGTAAGAATCTGCAAAGGTTTTCTCTTTCCATGGTAACTATATTTCAGTAGTTGTATGAAGAAATCCAGGGACCTGTCATTTGTCTTCAGATTGCATATGGATAGCGTAAGCATTGTCAAGCTAACTGAATAACAAAGTATCAAGACCTCAATCACTGATCCTTTCAGTCAAGTTCCATTTGGGGCAGTAAAATTCAATATAAAAAATTATTTGTAAAATCACTTGAAATTCTTCTTACTGGATTTGACCTATAACTATTTCTGTTCATTTTTCTGGCTGAGATTTCTGATTTTTAAAAGGGAACTTTGAATAGTCAGGGAAGCTCTTAGTTTCAGTTACTAGTAATTATTCAACCCCTTTTGTATTAGTCTGCTGGACTGCCATAAAAATGTGCCACAGATTGGGTGGCTTAAACAGAATTTTTTTTCTCATGATTCTGGAAGCTAGAAATCCAAGATTAAGGTATTTGCATGATTGGTTCTTCTCAGGACCTCTCTTCTCGGTATATATGAGGTTATCTTCTTGTGTGTTCACTTGGTTTTTCTTCTATGCAAGTCTATGTCTTACTCTTCTTGTCTCACAAGGACATCAGCCATATTGGATTAGGGCTAACCCATATGACCTTATTTTACCTTAATTGCCTTTCTAAAGGCCCTCTCTCCAAATATAGTCACAATCTAAGTTACTGGGAATTTGGTTGGGTGGGAACATATGAATTTGGTTGGGTGGGAACACAGTTCAGCTCATAATACACATAAAGGGCCTTTGAGATCTAGCTTTTAAATTAAATTGACACCAGAGATTTTTCTTATAAGTCCTTTTCATTTTAGTATCAAGATACAATCTCTCCTAAAGCATCTCCAAGCAGCCAGTAAGATCACTGGGTATCTGTATTGTAGGATACTGAGAAACATATACAGGTTTTAAAAAATCAAAGTAGCTACATGTTACTGAGAGAAAAAAAATCTAGATTTCCAGTCTTTTCTGTGGCTTACCTGAAGATGCATCCACCAAAGCATGACCGAGACAAAAGAGTCATATTTCAGAATTCTAGGTACTGTTATTTATTAACTAGATCATCTGAGGCAAATTATGTGACCTCTGCAAGAGTTCATTCTCTAATGTGTGACATGGGAATAATAATAGCATCACCTTAGAGGACTCCAATGAGATTTGAAATGTTTATCGTATTCCTGGCACACAGTAAGCACACTGTGAATGTGAACTAGCATCAGGACATAGGAAAGGAGAGCAGTGTTTTTGAGTGCTGCTAGTGTGCCTTCCAGTGCACTGCTAGGAACTTTAAATTCATTAGCTCATTTAAAAGACATGTCAGAGTAGACAGGAAATGTCTAAATCCCAGCAGTCTCTTTGTTGCCCTACCAAGCCTGTTACAGTCCCCCAGCAGGGCTTGTGGGGTTAATGGGGAAACTGATGTTCTGGATGAGAGAACTGGAAGAGAGATCACCATCCTGAGCAAACCAACACTCAGAACAGTCTATCGAGTAGAATTTCCATTGCTGATTAGTGACTAAAAAGGGGGAAGGAAGTGTTAGCACCATCATTTGCAAAACAAGTTCTATACTGCAAATACCTACATAGGATTTTTCAAGTCCAGTAGACACAACTCTGGGAAGACAGCTTTCTAGGGAATTATTTTATCCAAGTGCCATTCTATTCATGAAAGGTGAAAATGATAAATTATAACTAAAATGAAAATGTAGTTATGATTTTTTATCCTTATTCAAAGACATTTTTTTTTTCATCACTTGAGAGAGAGAGGAATGAAGAGAGAAAGGGAGAGAGGGAAACATAGATGCAGGAGAAACATCTACCAGGTGCCTCTTGAACATGCCCAGACTGGGGAGCGAATGCACCCGGACAGGGGATTGAAGCCTAACCCTAGGTGTGTGCTCTGATCAGGAAATTGAAACTTGCAAGCTTTCAGCTGCTAGGGATGATGCTCCTACCAACTGAGCTACATTGGCCAGGGCTGTGGTTGTGAATTTAACATTCCTTGTTTTGTAGGTAATACAGGTTTTGTAAGAGGTTAATTGGCATTCTTAACTAAATAGTGTCTAACTTCAAAACATTAGCTCTTTTAAGTGTACACACACAATTAAAAATATCAAGAATTAGGTTCTTTTCAGTCACATGATTCACATTCAATCTTTATATCTTCTAGATCATTCAATTTGATGAATTATTTAAAAGGAAATTTGTAGGTCAACTTCTGTTTCAGAAGGTCTTACTTAGCATAACAAATATTAGTAACTAGCCATATGGTTTTTTCTTTGTTTTTGTTTTTTTCCCAAATACATTTGTCTCTGCCTACCCCCCACCACTTTCCCTTGCCTCCTCCCTCCTTCCCTCCCTCAGCTCTTCCCCTTTGGTTTTGTCCATGAGTCCTTGATATATGTTCCTTGACTTTCCCCTTCCCTTCCTTTTCCCCACCCCCTCTTCCCTCTTGTCTCTGTTGGTTTCTTTTCCTTTCAGTGTTGCTGGTCTTATTTTCCTTGCATCTTTGTATTTTTGGTTAGGTTCCACTTATAGGTGAGATCATATGGTATTTGTCTTTCGCTGGTTTTTAAATAACTTCTTTACTGTTAAAATTATTGCTTTTGGTTAGGTTGCACAGGTGTTGGTTAGCATGTGCAGTCAAAGAAAAGATATGTGATCATGAAATACAAATAATCAGTAAACAATTATAAAAGTAATCTATGTTCACAATGAAACATTAAAATAACTATTTTTCCCCCGTCAAAGTAGCAATAATTTTAAAAGGCCCTGTGATATTATTAGTTCAGGGAAATGCATACTCTCACATACTATGGTGTAAGCTGCAGGAGGGAGAGTTTTGGTTTTTTTGTGTGTTTGTTTGTTTAAACTATTGAATCCCAAGTGTCCAGATTAAGGCCTGGCATAAAACATCATTCTTGTTTGTCAAATAGATGAATAAAATCTTTTCTGTTGTGTGTATAAATTGACAGTTTTTAAGAAATTTTAACTCAGTAAAATAATTAAGAGTGTCTATTAGAATGTATTTTAGGAGAAAAATAAATCAGTACTGGCTGGTGTGGCTCAGTTGGTTGAATGTCTTCCCGTAAACCTAAAGGCCACAGTCCGATTCTCGTCAGGGCTCCTGCCTGGGCTGGGATTCCCTCCCTGTTGGGGAGGGTGAGAGAGGCAATTGATCAATCTTTCTCTGACATGATTCTTTCCCTCTCTCTCTCCCTCTCTTCCACTCAAAGTATTTCCTCAGGTGAGGACTGGAAAAAAAGAATAGAAGAAAAAGGAAAAGAAATAAAAATGTCATCAGTGTTTATTAGATTGATTATATTAATGTATAATCATACACTTGAATTCTTTTCATCTTTCAACAGTGATACCGTAATATGGAT